GATCAGAGGATTAGATAGGGTGGACAGTGGGAGCCTTTTTCCTCGGATGGTGATGGCTAGCACGAGGGGACATAGCTTTAAATTGAGGGGTGATAGATATAGGACAGATGTCAGAGGTAGGTTCTTTACTCAGAGAGTAGTAAGGGCGTGGAATGCCCTGCCTGCAAAAATAGTAGACTCGCCCACTTTAAGGGCATTTAAATGGTCATTGGATAAACATATGGATGATAATGGAATAGTTTAGGTTAGATGGGCTTCAGATTGGTTTCACAGGTCGGCGCAACATCGAGGGCCGAAGGGCCTGTACTGCGCTGTAATGTTCTATGTTCTATGTTCTATAGTACAGAGATAGTGGCAACTGCCGATGCTGGAGAATTTAAGATAACAAGGTGTAGAGCTGGATGAACACGTCAGGAAGCCTTACTGCTCCTCTGATACTGCTTGGCCTGCTGTGTTCATCCAGCTCTACAGCTAGACTATTGCCGGGTGTTGTGTAACTTCTGACCTTGTCCAACACCGGCACATTCAAATCATGGCCATATTAAACAGTCGATAGAGCAGCTTGCGGCACAATGGTAACATTCCTACCTCTAAGGCAGGAGACCCGGGTTCACGACTACCTGTTTCAGAAGTGTGGTATATAATATGTGTTGATTTGAAACTAAAACAGCAGCAATACGGACTAACCGACAACAAGACAGGTGATTCTACCCAGCAATCGGAGAGCATGATCACTGTGGTGACCTCTCCTCCCTTGGACCAGCTCTTGCGTCCTGCTCCTTCACTGGCTCCGAACCCTGCTTCCGTTTCCGCCCCCTGGCCCGTGATTGCTCGCCCAAGGAACGGGTGCCAGTATTGTCTGTCAGTAGCTTTACTCTTTCCTTCTCATAGACACAAACTACCATGGAGCCCGTCTACCGAGAGGATAAACCCAACCCAATGGCAACTGCCAATATATTCTCTAAAGTCTTTTTCTGGTAAGCGTGTTTCGACAACTTCTTTAGTGAAGATATTTATCACTTTTTCTATTTTAGTGTCATTCGAGATTAACTATCTGTTTGTTTATCTGTGTAGCTTTTAATAATTTTTCATTACCGAAGGCATTCAGCCCTATGAGCCCTCTGCTTTTTCTCGGTTTCTATTAGTTCAGTGACAGGCCTCAGATCGTCATTGTTGTAAATTGAGAAAATGTTAGTTGGTTTCCACTATTCCTACAGTCCCAGAGCGGTTTTATTTTCAGGTGTTCTGTTGAAAATCCTCCAGTTTTTTAAAAAAAATTAACTAAGTGCTAGTGATAAACTTTGAGATTAACATTAAGTGCCTGTGATGAGGTGGAGTAGCTTTCCCAGCGCTTTGCCTCTGATTGTAGACAAAAGAAATGGCATTACAGTTCCTGTTTGCGGCAGTTCGTAGGGTTAAAGTTTAAAATCTGCTTTCAATTACTCACTTATTTAAACCTGTGAGACAGTAAACTGCAAAACGCAATGTTTTTGCTAGGGCGCTTGATACAGCTAGATTAGCTGTGATTGTTCTTGGAGCACAGCAATTTATTTGTTAAAGTGTTTAAAGTAATGAAGGGATTTGATTGAGTAAGCAGAAAATCTATTTCAAAGAAGAATATAAACAGAGGATGCAGATTTAAGGCAATTTAACAAAAGAATCAGAGGGGAGTTGAAGTTTTATTTCTAGCCATGCTTAAAAAAGGTGGTGGAAGCAGATTCAGTGGTGACTAAAAAATAAACATTTGAATATCTACTTCAAAGAAAGCTTGTAGGTCTGTGGAGAACAAGCCATGTTATAGGAAGAATTGGTAGTTTTTTGCAAAGTATGGACGCAAGCATGAGAGGCTGACTAAAGGTAAAATACCATAGAATCAGGAAATGTGAAACAAACAGAAAACTGGAGAAACTCAGGTCACGCTGCATTTGCGGAGAGAGAAAAAGTTAACATTTGAGTCTGGTATATGACTGATGGCTTTCTATGCTGTACATTTCTAATTCTCCTCCTATTTTCATAATGCTAAATAAGCAGTTTTATTACTGCTTCCTCACAGTATAACTATTGAAACTGACGGGAAACTGATCTTCCTGATCTTCTACTTCAACATAGTTTTCTTACACAAGCTACCACAACCATTGATATCCTTACATCTTTAGTATCTTGGAAGTTTACATTGTTTAGTTTATAACTTTATTTTTCCACTCCTTTATGGGGGATGTGACTCATGATTGAGATTTGTTTTGTTTTATTTATCCACTTGTTTTATTTACTCATTTATGGTATGTGGATGGTGCTGGCTGGCCTGCATTTATTGTCCATCACTAGTTGCCCTTGAGCTGCCTTCTTGAACTGTTTTGACCCATCAACAGTGAAGGAACGTTAATGTGTTTTCAAGTCAAGATGGTGAGTGGCTTGGAGGAGATCTTACAGGCAGTGTCTTTTTTATATTGGCTATTTTGAAAAATACAAATCAAGACTTTCAGGAATAAAAAAATGATGCTTAACCTGCCCTTAATATACATTCTTGCACATTTTGCATGAGCACAGTATCATGGAGTCCAGTTCTATGGAGTAGAACTGCAGAAAACTAGTTCCTGGTTGTTAAAAGTTGATTGTTTGTTTGCTAAAATTTAAGTTTTTATATTTAGCGTCTGACTTAAACTTTAATGTGTAGTGTTTTGCATGTTGCTAGTCAACAGTAATAAAAAGAAATGCTGAAAGTAATCAGCTCTGGCAGCATCTAAGGGGAGGGGGAAAAAGGTAATGTTTTAGGTCCGTGAACTTTCATCCTTAACTTTGTTTTTCTCTCTACAAATGCTGTTAGACCTTCAAAGTATTTCAGGCATCTTCTGTTTTTATTTCTGATTTCCAATACTTCCAGAAATTAATGTTAAACCAGAAGCCTACTAGTAGCTGTTGCACAATTTGGTAAGGCCACATTTATCTGCACTGTAACAGTAGAGGGAAACACTACCTGTGCATGTACTGTTGTAATCCGTGTCTTTTGAATGCAATTAACTGAAAACCCTGACACATTGGCTTGATATCAAAGTTCAAGTTGCCCATTTTCAGCCTGTACAATTATAAGTTCTTGTCCCTCGTCTAGCTAGGCTTTTTTGACACTCTGGAAAATTGCTTTTTGTCTGGTAAAAGTATTAAAAGAAAATATTTTGAATTACACATTTAAGAAAAAAGAAATATCTCAAGCAAGATTTAAACAACAATGCTCTGATTCACTGTCTACCAACTAAACTATTGAGGCTGTGGGAATTTCCTGCATAAAGCCTTAATATGCTGATTGAAAAGCATAATTCAATATGTTAACAGCTGATAGCTTACAATTTTCATATTTTCTTTGTTCTTTATAATGAATGAAACATACAGCACAGGAACAGGCCCTTCAGCCCTCCAAGCCTGGCAGATTGTGGAGCTTCACCTCCAGTGTCCCACCCAGTCTTCAAAGCCCTGTATTTCCCAAGGCATCAAAACTCTGAGTGAGAGATAGTAGGAACTGCAGATGCTGGAGAATCCGAGACAACAAGGTGCATGGCTGGATGAACACAGCAGGCCAAGCAGCATCATAGGAGCAGAGAGGCTGACGTTTCGGGCCTAGACCCTTCATCAGAAAAGGGGGAGGGGAAGGGGGTTTTGAAACAAATAGGGAGAGAGTGGGAGGCGGATAGAAGAGGGATAGAGGAGAGGATAGGTGGAGAGGAAACAAACAGGTCGAAGAGGCGGGGATGG